TTTGAATGTAATCAACAGGGATGAGAGCAGCTTCATCAAGAATTCGATTTCGTAAGTCATCCAAATTTTGTGGTTTCGTTTTGTAAACTCTATCTTTTAAATGGCCCCACAGGAAGTAATCGTTAGGTTATAAATCGGGTGATCGAGGAGGCCATTCTATAAGTCCTCTTCTACCTATCCATCGATGAGGAAACACTGCGTCCAGATAATTACGGACGTCCCTTCCGTAATGTGGGGGGGGGCACCATCTTGTTGGAACCATGTACGAGGGTGGTCCGATAAGTACTTAGCCTACAAAAGAAAAACGAAAATTTTGGAAAAGTGGCGATTTATTTCTCAACATAGTCTCCTTTTAGCTCGATACATTTGACCCAGCGATGCTCCAAATTCTTTAACCCGTCTGAAAAATACGTTTTCTCGAGGTCTGCAAAGTAGGCCTCCGTGGCGGCGATGACCTCCTCATTCGACTCAAATTTCTGCCCGGCGAGTGACTTTTTCAAGTTTGGAAACAAAAAGAAGTCGCACGGGGCCAAATCTGGAGAATACGGTGGATGGGGCAGCAGTTCGTAGCCCAATTCGACCAATTTGACCGTGGCGAGGGCGGAGGTGTGAGCCGGTGCGTTGTCATGGTGGAAGAGCACTTTTTTCTTCGCCAAATGGGGCCGTTTTTTCTGCAATTCGGCGTCGAATCGGCCCAATAATTCGGCATAGTACAGCCCTATGACCGTTTTGCCCTTCTCCAGGTAGTCGATGTAGATCACACCTTGTGAATCCCAGAAAACGGTGGCCATCACCTTTCCGGCCGATAGGACAGTCTTCGCCTTCTTCGGAGCACGTTCGCCGGGTGAAGTCCACTGTTTCGACTGTTCCTTGGTCTCTGGTGTGTACCAGTGGATCCATGTTTCGTCGACGGTCACGAAACGACGCAGAAACTCCTTCGGATTGCGCTTAAACAGCGTCAAACACTGCTCTGAAGTGGTCTCACGGTTGCGCTTGTTGTCCGGAGTGAGCAAACGCGGCACCCATCGCGCCGACAGCTTTCTCATGCCCAAAATTTCATGCAGGATATGACCCACGCGGTCTTTTAAAATGCCTACTGTCTCAGCTATCTCGCGCACCTTCAATCGGCGGTCTGCCAATACGAGATCGTGGATTTTTGTCATGTTATCCTCCGTGGTAGGCGTTTTTGGGGCACCTGGGCGTGGCTCATCAAAAACCGACGTGCGACCACGTTGAAACTCATTAAACCAATTTTTGACGGTCGCCATCGAAGGAGAAGAGTCACCGTACACAGCATCGAAGCGCTCTTTGATTTCGCTGCGCGATTTCCCTTCCGAAAACAAGAATCGAATCACCGACCGATATTGCTCTTTTTCCATTTTTCTAAAATCCGCGGACATATGCTTCCATACGCGATCAAAACAAAACTACGAGTCCGATTCGGCTGAAATTTCGACAGTAGCCGTCTACGAGATGTACTACACGATAGTAAATTTCTCTTGCGATAGTGGCACCATCGGGCGGTGAGGCTAAGTACTTATCGGACCGCCCTCGTATGCTCGAAGTTGTCATGCATGATTGCTTGTATCGCTGGAACTATTTCGTTTCTTTGCATATTCTCATATTTATTCGCTGTTAGATTTCTGTCAATAAAGAGTGGACCTATGAGAACATTATTCAAAATGCCTACCCAAACATTCACTTTTTGTGGATACTGCGTGTGTGTTTCTTCAATCCAGTGAGGATTTGTATCTGACCAAAATCTACAATTGTGTCGATTAACGTGGCCATTTAACTGAAATGTTGCCTCATCCGAAAATACTACATTTGATAGATAGTTAGGATCTTCGGCTATTTTTTCCATCATCAAATCACAAAATTCAATGCGCCTATCAAAATCATTTTCATTTAGCTCTTGTACAAGATGGATCTTATAAGGATGAAATTTATTCATTTTCAATATTTTAAACACAGACATTTGATCTATTTCATGTTGCTGTCTTACTTTGCGGGTCGAATCATACGGATTTTCGATAAAGGATTGTAGAACATCTAATGATTTTTCTACACTTGTTGCTGATACTGGCCTCCCTGATATTATACGATTTTTCACACTTTCAGTTTTCTGAAAACGCCTTATCGTTCTTTCAATGGTAGATTTTGAAATGGCATTACCCTGATTACGAAAAGTTTCATTAAAAAGCCGCCTCACATCATTGTACGACCTTAGTCGATCATTCCATCCTCTCATCATCAAACGAGATATGCGTTCTCGTTCTGAAAGGTTTGCCATATTAACAAGCAGAAGTAGTAAGATTTAGTCTAATCGACTAAATTAATATTTGGATCAATTCTAAGTTATTCTAAAGACAGTGCTGAAGAATAATAATGAGCACTGAATGAAGTGCAATTAAGTCAGCTTACAACTAGCTTCAAACTGTTTCTTAATAATTTTCAAAAAAATAGAGGAATTTCAGTCGAGTTTGCGATTTACTAAACTGTAATGAGTATTAAATGAGTAAATGGAAGAAATAAACATCGAACAGCAGAATAGTTCAAATAAATAAATAACTGAAATAAATCAATCAACGAAATTAAGACAAGCCAATAGGAGCCAACGCCTGGAAGTTAGTTGCGCAATTATTTTTACGAGTTGGCTGGATCATCTTCCAACCTTGTCTTAGTTGGCCGGATCATCCTCCGATCTTGCCTTAATTGACTAGATATCTTACTTTAAAAAACTCGATAACTTCGGAACAGCTTATTCAAATTTGATAAAACCATAGTGCTTTGAAAAGGTCTGAAGAAGAGCTATAAGAATATGCAATAAAAATTGGGGGTTCCATTTATAAAATCCGAGGTGACCTTGTCCTAACCTTGATGACGCCACCTAAGGTCAAATTGTTAAGATCGGTAAATAGATATTTTTCAACGCTACAACTTTTGTCTGAAACATTTTTTTATAAAGTGTATATTTTTCGAAATTTTCAGGAGTCCCTGGGTTTTTTCTTCACCCTGTATAACTGGGCGTGGCTGCGAGCAGCGCGCCTTTTCCTTTGCTTGGCCAACGTTTATAGTGGCGAATCTCTGCTGCTTCTCTGTACGAACTGTCGCGCTCTTGGTTACCGACGCGCTGTAGGCTTTCCTAAAGCGGTGTTTTCTCATATTTCAGATTCGAACTACCGCTCTATACACTCTACTGAGTTGGAGGCAGCGCCGATATACCCTGCTGGGTTGAGGTTAAGGGCCAGAGTACAGACTTCTGCATAACGCATAATACACAACGCATAAGAGAATCAACCAATCAGAGTTCTTCATTTCTGTCCTGAGGAGAGAAATGAAGAGCTCTGATTGGTTGATTCTCTTATGCGTTGTGTGTTATGCGTTATGCAGAAGTCTGTGCTCTGGCCCTAATAGTTCGGATCTTATCTTCTAATTTCGTGCTCGCGGCTTTGCCGTGATTTAGGGTCGCCTCCTTAGAGCTTGGAGTTTATCTTCTCCCAAGTGTTCGTAGGGGATTTCGTAGGGGGTTCGTTTGGTGGTCTCAGGAGCGGTGAGGCCACTTCCTTGGAGCTTCAAACTCCTCTTCCTTCCAAATATCCGTAGGAGGCCTTGGATTCCAGGAGCGACTCGGTCGCCTTCCTCCAGAACTCTGAGCTCTTTCTTCCAAGCGTCCGTGGGACATTGACCTCTTGCTTAGGAGCGACTTAGTCGCTCGCCTCTTGCGTGCTAGAACTCAGCGCTCTTTTTCTACGCGTCCTCAGGACCGTGGCTTGTTGTTGGCCATTTCGTCCGGAATGGCAGGCCCTCCGAAACGACGGATGTCATTTCGTCTCTGCGTCTTTTGACATGCTCCAGGTTGCCGCCCCCCGTTGGCGCGTGTGTCCCCCGGGATTTTGCTTTGACGAGCACGTTCGCCTTATTACGTTATTCTATTGCGTCATTCTTGCGTTGTTCTATCGTGATTCTCTCCTGCGTTCTTACTGCGTTCACTTGCGTTCTTGCGCTCCGCCGTTGTTCAGAGCGTTGTTTGTTGCTTGCGGTTGGTATTGCTCGCTCTTTTCAGGCTCTTGCCAGCCTTACAATAACTCAGACGTCGGCCGGGACGATCGGTCGGTCGTCCACTCGAGCAGCGTAATCGCGGGCTGACATCGCTCTGTGATCCGATAATTACCAGTCAGCTCTCCTGAGCTATCATATGTTCGGCCGCGTTCCGAACATACATATACATTTATAAATAGTACACATGCATTACTACCTGTTAATGTGGCATCATATATTTCCTCTAAATTATAAACAATTTTTGTTTGATATACTTTTATGAAAAGATGCTAAAATGCAACGTTTTAAGTGGAACACCGACTCAAAACATTCCCAATGTTTAAGGAAAAGTATTATTATCATAGGTCGTTAAACATATCTTGAATATCGCTACAATAATCTGCGTTCAAAAATAGGGGGTCCCACTCAAGAAAATAACCTTGACTTGGTTTTGAGAAGGTCAAAGTTATTCAAGGTCATTCAAAGTTAAATATATATTTTAATTATATACCTCTTCTAAAATACCCCTTCTAAAATAAGTAACTTTTGTCTGAAAAATTTTTTGTCTATAACGAGTTACAGAAAAGATATTAAAATGCATTATTTAGAATAAAATGCCTTGTGTAATATCTATCAGCACTTTTCAGAAAACGTTCTCTTTCTATATTTTAACGATGTTTCTTTTTATATTGCCTAATTCTGGAAGAGAGTGTAATCATGATTTCTTTAGTTCTCTTGAACAATTTAAATTATTATGCTCAATATTCAACTCCTTTCAGGCTATCAATTTTACCATCAGTGTTTTCGATATCTTCCTTCAATCATTCATACAATGTTTATATCATCATTGTTTAATGGCACTATATTTAATATAACTGTACTTTCTGTGTATTAATTATAATATAATATAATTCTATAAAGATATTTTATGAAAATAATTAAATTTACCTTTTAAACAGGTTTCACATAATGTAAGCCCTGTTGATGAATTTTCAAGTGACCCATTAATAGAGCTACTCGGTGAAAATGGTGATATCAATCAAGCTGATTCTTATGGACGAACGATATTACATACTTTAGCTGCGGATGGCAATACATCTTTATTAGAGCTGGCGCTTTCAACCTATCCTCAGGTATAATTTGTTTTAAATTATCTTATATAAAAATAAAATAAGATCCTATGAAATTAAAAAAAATATAAGTAATAAATTCTCTGTACTTAAATATATTTAGAAAATTTTATCAATGAACATACCAGATAAAAATATAGGATAATCGAAAATTATATAAATAAACGAACTCACCGAGAGAAGTTCGTTTGGATTGCTTGTGGTCTCGTCCGGATGGATACTGTAGTAGTATCTTCTGTACACGCATTTCCCAACAGTTCACATTCCAAGAAGAAAAAAGGGGGCACGCGCGTCCGCTTTCCCACGCACTCACGCGCGCCACCGTTCTCCCGCGCGCTCGTGCAGGACCATCTCATTTTTCAGAACGAAAATAGCAAATCGCTCAATGTGGAGACCGCGGGTGGGAAAAAACGCGGAAGCTATGGGAGGGAAGGTCCATCCGGACGAGACCACAAGCATAATTCCAAGCGAACTTCACTCGGTAAGTTCGTTTGCTTATATAATTATGCTCTGTGGTCTCGTCCAGATGGATACTGTGGATGTTCAGAAAGCGATTTGTAGAGGAGGGAGGTGAAAAGAAAATAAAATTAAAATTAGTGCAACTGGCCGCAAAGGGGTGTATTAAACTGCAAGGAGGCAGTCGCAGAATAACAACAATAGAAAAATAAACGTGAGCCTTAAGCGCGAAGAACGGAGTTTGTAAAAACCTCTGAGTGGAGGATAGGATTGTAAAAACGTGCGAAAACTTGGGAGAAGCCTGACCAACCGACCGCACGTTTGATTATATCTAAAGCTACTCCCTTCTACGCCGCCAATGAGGTGGATGCATGACGGGTACTATGCGGTGTATCAGTTTGGACATTAATCGCATTAATAATGGAAGCAAACAGGTCCACGTCAAAAGGTCCAAATGCAGTCAAGATCTTCGAAAAAACGGCGACAATGACCATTCCGTGTCCACACTGACGGCTCGTGATTCGCTATCAGCGATGACATTATAAATAGAAACAATGTAAGAGGCAAAAATGGAGATGTTATGGTCTTCGCACCAGGTCCAGATTTGCTGCGCCAACAATGTAAGGTACGCACCGGACCGGTATTGCACCGAACCGAAACGATTGATACAGGCAATGGCCGTAGTATTGTCGACGCGAAGGAGTGTCGCAGTTTCGAAGATCTGCTGCAAACCACTGCAAAGCATAAAAACAGCTTTGAGTTCAAGAAAATTTATATGACAGGACCGCTCAGATGCCGATCACTAACCACGGGTATGACGTGATCCACACGATGCACCCCAGCCAGAGAGAGAGGCGTCCGAAAAGATTTCGCGGGTAGTGACCCCGGAACGTATAGTCTTAGCCTGACGGAGGTTAGATAAAATGAAAAACCACTATCGGAAGTCACGGTCAAGATGAGAAGGAAGACGCATTGTAGCTGCTTAACTGCCACCAGAACGTGCTAAGGCGAGAAACTTTTCACGCTCGAAACCTTGATGTGTAAGAGACCATATTCTATTGCAGGACAGACGGATACAAGGGAGCCGATTATGCTTACGAAGTCTTGTATGCGACAGTGGGGCCCCGTAGAAAATCGAGAGATCATATGAAGTAGCGCATCTCGGCGTGTCGGAGGGATCGCGATAGATTGAGATACTGAGTCGAAAATAAAACCAAGATAGTGGCAATGTTGTGCTGGTACAAGTTGGGATTTCTCATAATTAAAGAAAAAACCGAGCGACGTAATCAAAGACAGAGATGCAGTCAGGTTATGAAGGCAGTCGACTCTCGAGGCGCCGAAAAAGAGGAAATCATCCAGATAAACAACCGAATAAAAACCCTGGTCACGTAAACGGGCTATGACGGGGCGTAAGAGCTTGGTGAAAATGTATGGCGTCGTAGAAAGTCCAAAAGGTAATGCGATAAATTCGTAAGTAACTGAACGCCATTGGAAGCGCAGAAAACGGCGACAGTGAGTCGCAATGAGCACTAAGAGATACGCATCTTCTAAATCGAGGGTCAACAGCCACGAGTCCTGAGTCATCAACTGCACAACTGTACGCCAGTCTTCTAATTGAAAATGCGGTGGCTACAGGTAAGTATTCAGTTGTTTGAGGTTTAGTATAAAGCGCATATCTCCCGACGCTTTCTTGACGAGGAAAAAACTCGACAAGAATTGGTCGGGGGAAGAAGAGGTAATAACTACAGCTCCTTTGGAGAGCAGACGCGAAATTTTGGCATTGTAAGCCGCCGCAACAGTCTGAGAGAAAACGGGTTCTGATAGTGATACCTGAGGTGGCAGTGGGAACACGAACGGGATATTGCATCCACTCACGGCATCTAGGATTTCCGGGTCGCTGGTCACCTTTTCCCACATAGACCGAAAAACAGCCAATCGGCCCCGAGTTCTTACTTCTTTCAACGTCTAGTCCGGGAGCGGGAGCGAGGGCGATAATCCCGGAGGCGGTTCAGCTTCGGCACGGTCCCTGACTTGCGAACCGCAGTCGTCATCCGTGGAGCAGGAGCCTGCAAGTTTCCCCGACGCACTGGTGGTGGCTGAGGATGATGGTGAGCTGCCGCCGTCGAGGGGGTCATCTGCGGTTTCGAGAGGTCTCGTCCCGCTTTCTCACAGGCTTGCGCAGATCTGAGATGTTCGGCGAGTGACGAACCAAATAGCCATTCGTCAATAACCGAGTGGTCCACAGCTGATTTGCCGACAAAAGTGAAGCACGGCTTGATGAAAGCTTGTCTGACCAATAAGAGGCGGAATTGGTGGTCCACCAAAAGATGAATCGCCTCCGCCATTTTTGCGAAGGCATCCTTCATAGGGGCATCTAGCGATAGACCGTGAAAATGGCGTAGAAGATCCAAAAACCTTGAGCCAATTGCGTTAAGGCAAGTGCCAACTTGCTGTTGATCCCGCGCCTGATGCTCACCTCATTTTAGAACGCTTAAGCGTTTTCCGAGTGCTGAAACAAGCTCCTAAGTTAAGTTTAGGAGGACCTAGCTGCAGAAGCTCGCCCTAAAGCTGGTATTTGGACAGCAGACCCGCGCGAGTGTCCTCCTTTAGGCCGGAGTGAACCTCATTGCAAGTAGAGGCGAGGATAAATGGATCCCATGAAGATTCAGACGCAGCAGGAAGGGACCGAAGAGTTCATTCGCCAACGACGACGTATTCTCCTTCTCGGAGTCGTCTAGCTCCAAAGGAAGTGGAGAAACCCGGCGAAGGAGACAGTGGCTGGCGGAGGCTGGCCCGCTGAGAAAGAAGAAGCATGGTCAGATAGAGCAATCGGATACGTGCCTTCGGATAGCGAAGGCAACGCACCTAGTACGCCGCCCCGGTTCTCAAGAACTGGATGCTCATCTGCCTGCGAGTCCTCTGGAACGTCGATGAGAATATCGTCTAGCTCCAAAGGGAGTGGAGAAAACTCGGCGAAGGAGACAGTGGCTGGCGGAGGCTGGTCCGCTGAGAAAGAGGAAGCATGGTCAGATAGAACAATCGGATACGTGCCTTCGGATAGCGAAGGTAACGTACCTGGTACGCCACCCCGGTTCTCAACAACCAGATGCTCATCTGCCTGCGAGTCCTTTGGAATGGCGATGAGAACATCGTCCGCCAGGGTTGGGACAGCGACCTGCACCGCGGAGACGGGAACAGACCGGACATTGTCGGCAGGCAGAGATGCGGAAGCCTGTTGGGTCTTCATGAAGGCCAAAATATCGTGCAAGATAATGGCGAGGTCGGCCCCCGAGGAGAGGGAAGCATCGCGTGAGAAAGCTCGCGGCCTAACCTCCAAATCGCGCTCGCGCTCGCGACTGCCGGGGTCTCGTTCGCGCGATCTATCGCGAGAATAGCGCCGACGCTTCCGGGAACGATGACTCTTATGTTTAGGCATCTTGGAGCCCCAGGAACAAAGCAGATAAAGAATAAACACAGCATACACCGTACACAAAAACAACGAACTAGGTTGCGCGCAACAGAAACACAATGAGATGGTCCTGCGCGAGCGTGCGGGAAAATGGTGGCGCGCGCGAGTGCGCGAGAAAGCGATGACGCGCACGCCCCCTTTTTTCTTCTTGGCAGGAATGTAAACTGTTGGGAAGTGCATGTACAGAAGACATTACTACAGTATCTATCCGGACGAGACCACAGAGCATAATTCAAGACATACTCATCATATAGATATTCGTTCAATCAAACTAAACAAAGAAGTCGTATACTATTTCCACATTTTACGAAGTCACATGTGATGTAGCGATTTAATGATGAAAAACAACGCGTGTATGATTCGCTAATGTCGATCTTTTTTTGTCAATCGATACCGTAATTGGCTCAATTACAGACAATATACAGGATTTACAAATAGTCTGGAAATCTCTAAAAATTTTGAAAAATATCTATTTAGAAAAAAATGTTTCAGACAAAAGTTGTATAATTTCAAGGAAGATAAAGAACAACTATAACAGTTTGTTTACAGATGGTGCCACTTTCGAGATATTCACTGATCATTATTTTTTTTAAATGGAAATCCCAATTTTTTATTATATCATCTTTTTCAGCAATTAATTTTAATAACTGTTTTCTGAAATATTTTTTTACTTGCCTAATATTTTTTGAGATATTTAAGGAAAACTTGGTAACTCTTTCTATATTTAACTTACGATATCTCACTATTTGTCGACAGAAAAAGTGGTACCAGAGTTTTTTATTCTATTTGGTCTCAAGAATATATTGTTACAATAGCGCATTGACTTCTGTTAATTTGATGGTTTTGAAATTTCCAAAAGTCCATAAGTTAATAAAAATTAGGGTACTATTATAAAATATATATTCTTGAAACCAAATAGAGTAAAAAAGTCCAGTACTATTTTCTCTTCCGACAAATAGTTAGCGAAATATCTAAATATTAAGCTAAATATTAAGTTAAATATTAAGAAAGTAATTAAGTTTTCCTTAAATATCTAAAAAAATATTAGGCAAATAAAAAAGTGTTTCAGACAAAATTT